CCATCCTCAGACACACAGCTGCTGAGGGGGTGGAGGTACAGCCAGCTGGATTCTCAGGAGCACAGGGGTGAGAGTTCTGCAATAGGAGTGTGAGCTAGGACACCGGCCAGTGGCAGGGGGTGGGGGGCTTGAGTGAAGGGCGTTTGGCTGGGACACGCTCTCTTTGGCCACTGGAGTGTGGAGTGAGAGTGGGTTGGCCAAGATCAGAAGCCAGACCTGGATCTGATCATTTGACCTCATGACATTGCTGCTCCCTCACTCCTTTCCTAATCAACTTGATGCAGAGCCTAAAACTCAGATCAAAAGTGTCTTTGTAGGGTGCGGGTCTGTGGTTACCAGCACAGCAGGATTTCCGAGTGGTCCCTATCAAGAGAACTGGCTCCGGTTTCCCCACTTGCAGCTGGGTGTGAAATTCTAACCCCGCTTGACGCTGAGCTTCTCAAAGTCCTTACAACCCCTGGGGTATTTGAAGTCACAGGATGAAAGAAACTGCATTTCAAAAGGGGGAATAAATTGCACTGAGAATTAATGAGTTCCTCGGTCCACAGCAATTAAAAAACAAATATGTTTTATTTGGAGATTCGGAAGGACTCTGAGTTTTTGAATTCTAATGTTACAGCAAGCACAAATATAACACAGACAAGAATGAGACATCTGAATGAATTCAACTTTTTAAGGCTCCAGAGACGTTGTGCACTTCCCCCGGGATAGACCTGCTTCGGGCTATGCTCAGACCCTACCCGCATTCACTGCGCTTTAGGAAGCACTAGGTGAGCAGATCACCAAAGCGTCTTATCTCCTGTCCCTGGAAGGGATCAATTACATCCAGGTCACTTACAAAGCAAGGTGCATAAATTACTGAGCCTCCCCTGAGCGGGTTTGGATGGGGGGTGGGGGGGGTTAAGTAATCTCCCATAATTTCCTACAGCATTATTGTCTCCATTTTATCAAATTAAAAAACTGAGCCTCAATGAAATGGAAATGACTCTCCTCAGGTCACCCCGCTAGTAAAGTGACAGAAGGCAGGTATCCAACTATAAAGCCAGTGCAGGTCATAGTGAAGCCAAGGCACCTTCAAGGAACAAAGTGGTAGAATGGGGGCAACATGAAGGATGGGGCTGTTAAAAGCCGTGGTTTCTCAGGGAATGGAACTTTCTCAAAGAAATGTTCACTTTCGACTTAATATAGGCCTTTTTCTGACTCTTCTCTCTTGTTTTTTTTTTGTGCTGACCTTACTCTTAGGGAGTTTCTTTGCACCCAGTGGTCCTGGCAGCTCCAGAGTTCCATCCTCTAGATTAGAAACCAAGCAGAGAAATTTGTTAGTGGTTCCGACAAAAATCCCAGAACAGAATCTTATTGATTTGGCTTAGATCACATGCCTGTGTCTGAACCAATGACTGCAGCCAGCAGGGTGGGACATGCTGACTGGTCTGCCCTGACTCACACCACCTCCCCCTTCCACGGAACTGGGAACCACACAGAATGACAGTGGGGAGCAGTGTTTGCCCAAAGGGGACACAGCCCACTATAGAAGGGAAAAAGGATACTTGACATAGGGACGAAACAGATGCCCAGCGCTTGATCTGAGATGCCCTTCAGCTTGACCTCCGGGAAAAAGAATGGGAGGAAATAACTGACAAACTGAAGGCTAAGGAGAAGAGATGCCATGCTGGGGGTGGGGGTGGAGAATTAGATTTCAGAGACAGAGGGCCCAGGGGACAGTGAAGAAAGAGGGTACCGCCTGCCCCTTGGGGTGGGAAAAGAGCTAGGTCAGAAGAGCTGGACTCTATGTGGCTCTCAACAAGTGCCCTGAGCAGCAAAGATTGCTCTGCACGTCCTGGATCTGGCGTGGCCTGAGTGAGGCAATTGTTTGAGGGAGTGGAACGTGCCACTCCACACACCCTCTGACGTGCAGGGCAAGGTAAAGGGATTAAGGTTTCTTAACTGCCATGCCTCTTGTCTCCGTCAGTCCCACTGGAGGCCGGTTAGCTTGAGTCACCTTACTGGAAGCTAATCGCCTCCACAGCAACTGATGAGATTGAGTTCCTGGACACTCGAGGCTGGGAACCTGACCTTGGACGCTGTTAGATTCCTGCCCCATGGAAGGCCCATTGGGGGGCAGTCAGTAGGCCTGCCCTGACCCCAGCCTGCCTTTGCTTCCAGGCCCCCAGTGTCTCCTTATGGCACTGTTCCAGGATCCCAGGGGACCGCAGAGAGGACCCCTGGCACAGGAGTAGGCCAGATAAATGGCAGCTGTCATTACTACTGGGTGTGGAATGTGTCTAGCACACAGCTAATGGTACCTATCAGTAGGTATGTGAAGAGGGTGCCAGTGAGATGCTCGGGAATCAGTAACTATAGATCGACTGTTCAGCTGGCCTCCCCCCTCCCCTTCCCAGAATACTTTCCCATCTCTCTTTTTCATGAGCCACCTGCTTGCAAATGTGTTCAAAGCACAAACTACCCCCCCACCCCACCCCTCTCCAATCCTGACATCCAAAGGTTTTGTCTGAGGCTGCCTCTGGCAGTGTTTCTCAAAGTGGGGTCCCCCAGTCCACCTGTTAGAATGACAATGCTTGTTAACTGTGCAGATTCTCAGATCCCCCATCCAGACCTGCTGGATCCATCTCTGGGTTTTGGGGGCTAGAGATCTGCCTGTTAAAAGGCTCCAGGGGTGGCCTGGTGGCAGTGATGGGAATTCTAACGCATCCCAAAGCTCACAAGCCCCTGTCCTGCGGGCATTCCTGAGGCACCTGATCCCAAAGCTCACAAGCCCCTGTCCTGTGGGCATTCCTGAGGCACCTGGCCCCAACAGGAAAGTTCTGATTCACTAATAGGCCCTGCCCACTCTGGCCCTTCTATCAGGTAATTCAAAGTCTCCAGGCTGCTAGTTACTGATTAACTCTAGAAAAGAAATAATAATAACTGAAGGGACAACAGAGAGAGGTGCCAGACGGCTGTTGTCACCAGGCACCTAACAAGAAGGAAAGGAGGCTTGATACACCGCCTCAGGTCAGACTACATCTAGGTCCCCCAGCACCTCGTCCATGCCCAGGCCCTGAGCTGCCACATCCCGCCGGCTCCCATCCCCGGAATGGCCTGCGCTGAGGTCCCGCAGAAGGCAGCTCCGCACCAGCCCCAGCCCATCTCCGCAACAGCCACCACCACCGACACAGCGGGCCCTGCCGGGGGTCATCGTGGCTCCGCGGACGGCGACCTGGAGTGCCTGGTGTGCCGCGAGCCCTACAGCTGCGCCCGACTTCCCAAGCTGCTGGGCTGCCAGCACTCCTTCTGCGCAGTCTGCCTGAAGCTCCTGCTGTGCGTGCAGAACGACACCTGGGCCATCACCTGCCCGCTGTGCCGCAAGGCCACCGTCGTCCCTGGGGGCCTCATCTGCAGCCTGAGTGACCAGGAGGCCGTGGTGGGGCAGCTCACCCGGTCATGCCCAGAGGTGTGGCTCTGTCCTCAGGAGCTGGTGAATCCTGCCACCTTGACAGCAGGGCACCCCAGCTGGGTGGGAGAGGATGAACAGGACTTGGCAAGTGCCAACCGAGTGGCAGCCCGGGGCCTGGTGGCACACCTGCTCCTCCTGGCCTTACTCATTGCCCTCATCCTGCCCTTCATCTACCCTGGCGTCATGCACTGGGCGCTCTCCCTTGTCATCGCCCTGGCCCTGCTAATATCCATCCTCTCCTGCTATCACCCCTGCAGCCAGGGCGGCTGCTGGCACTCCCCCAGGACTCTCTTCTGCAGAGGGCAGAAACACAGCGAGGTCTCCTCCGTTGCCTGAGTGCCCCAAGCAGGCACCCACAGCACCCTCCGCCTCTGCCTCCGCCTCCATCTCCGCCTCGGCGGGCCCTTGATTCTACAGTGAACAGGGTAAGGGGCTATGAAGTAAGACTGCTCCCGCGGGAGGCCAGACGCCGGCCAGGCTTGCAAGCGAAAGCAAGAATGGCTGTCTTGGGTCCAGAACTCTGTGTTTGGACGACAGACTTATGCCTGCCCTGGGGACAGCGTGTGGGGTGGGGAGGAGGCACAGGTGACTTGAATGCTACAAGGGGGGCCTTCTGTTCCTCTTATTCCAGTGCTCCAGGTTTTTTCTATACCTTGATGGAAATACTGCAATATTAATGTTATTGAAGAACAAATAGAACTCTTTTGTTTTGCAATTTATGTAGCTGGTTTTGTTTTATTGCTTGGTTTGGGATTCGGTTTTTGTGTTTGGGGTAGTTTGGTCATATTTCTGGCTGCTACACATTTTCCCTCCTGGGAAGTCACAGCCCATGGGAAGTCCCCCTGTGCTCCCTGCCATCTCGTGCCCACCCCACCTTGCCCAAGGTCCCAGCGGTTTGGGTCTTCCACTGAGTCGCCTTCCCCCAAGAATGGAGGGAGAGGACTTGTGCGAAGCGGTGCTTCTGAGGCTGCCTGGGAGCCCCATTTAGTTGGCAGAGCTGGGGAGGCAGGAGGGGCTGCAGTGGGTCTGGGAATTCCCCAGCATGCCCACCAGGATCTCCCAGCTCTGTGTCATCAGGCCCTGACTTAACAGAGACTCTCGCAGTTACACGGGCTTCCTGCAACACGGGCCCAGCTGCCCATCCAATGCACTGTCCCGCACTCCAGAACCGAATCTTATGGGTGCCGCTTTATCATTGCATCTTGCTTCCCATTTGAGCCTCTGTCATAAAGATAAGAGGCCTCGTAAACGCAGTGGTCCTCTCCAATAACCCCGCATTTCCCGTCTTGCCTGACAGTCACCATCATCTGAAAGGCTTTTGTGTCTTTTCTCAGTCATTTCTGCTCCCTAACATCAAGGAGGCTCCTGCTGGAGGGAATGACCTTCCACAGTCACCCAGGTCAAACCTCAGCCGGGGGACCTGTGGGGCACAGAGGGGTGGAGGGTGAAAGATGGCACACTATTTCCTTCCAAAGGCCATAACTGGAAAGAAGACTTGAAACCTCAAAGGGGCTCGCCAAGCACAATCCATTGTCCTTCCCTGCCCCCCTTCTCCTGGAGACTCTGTACAGTGACCATACCTTTGTCAGGGAGGGAGACAAGAACTCTGCCATCAGAGCAAAGAAAAGTCGAAATATAAGTATGGATGCAGAGAGCTATTTCGAAATCTGGGTGCCTTTCTTTTTGCTTTATGAGGTCCTTCAGGGTAGCTCTGTGACACCCATGCTACTGGCCTTATTGACTCCTGGTGCTGAAAGAGAATGTGAGTGGATGTGGGTGTGCGTTGTCCATACCGTTAAGCCAAGACCAAGTGGGCCTGAAGAACACCCTGTCTCCCCAGGATGAGTAAATGACGAGAACTGTTTGGCATTTCCTGAGATGGCCTTGGGCATGTGTGTTTTGGGATGGGTGCCAGTAGGATAGGCAAAGAACATTCTCTCCACACACACCACCACTCCAATTCCATCTAGTTCTTGGACCCTCTACCAATAAGAAAACCTTCACCAAGATTTCAGTTGTTAATGACACCATTTCTACTATAATAATGGTGGGTGCATGTTTGTTGAGTGCTTACTATGTGCCAACCCCTGCAAAACTGCTTTATATGCGTTATCTAGCTGAATCTTTATTGGAGCTTATGCAGGTAGAGATCACCTGCTGATGAGGAGACTGAGGATCAGAAAGGTAAATTCATCTGCCTCAGTTGCACAGCCAGCCCCTTTCAGAGCTCTTTCTGCTCCATTAGGCTGTGTCCTTTGGGTGCAGTTCCAAAACAACCAGGAACCTGGTTGCCACTGGTAGGCTTGCGAGGGAGAGTAGGAGACTAAGCTCAAGAGCCTCCAAATTCCTGTGGTCAGGTACTCAGAGAGGCCAGAGAATTCTAGAACCTGTCATCTATGCTAAAAGAGTCAGAAAGGAGAGTGATGTAAATCAGATAGCTTTCCTATAGACTTTTACCACCTAGTCCCAGCCTCCCCTGCAGGGAGCTCTGTTGTCACATGGTCCCCAACCAGTGTGACCTCTGTCCCTCTGAGCAAATATGTCCTGTCACTGCTGTCACCACTCTCCTTGAAGCCCAGCTGGTCCCAAAGACCTTCTGGTCCCTGGCAGTATGTGAAGAGAAAGTATCAGGGGCCAATATCAGCCCAGGTTGCCAATATCAGCCCAGGTTGCCGTGCAGGGGAGCAGAAGAAACAGGTAGTGTTGACAAAGACTGTGAGTGGCAGAAACCAGAGAAGCAGGCCAAGGTTCAAAGCTAAGTTCTGACCCAGCATACAACCAGTTACAGAACTTCTCTGAGCCTTAGCTTACTCACCTGTAAAGCTGGGGAGGATACTACATACTTCCCAGGGTCTCCATGATGATTCAAAGTGCTCCAGGATGAGAATCCTGTGTCCTAACAGGTGGCCTTTATCATCAATCATTGACCCGTTGGGTGAATGGGTTTTCTGGGGTCTGTTCAGTGTGATAGTGAGCAGGGGGCTGGCCTTAATGATGGGGTGGAGAAGCCAGTCCAAACTGGGGGCATTGTCCAGGACAGGCAAGCTGGTGGAAAACTTTGCGCTTAGGTCCTAAGGGGAGATCTGCAGGATGAAGAATTGCAGGGGACCAATTTCATCCCCATCAGAACCATCTCCCTAATCTGTGGCCTTGGAGCCAAACACACCTGGCTTGAATTCTAGCTTCACCACTTGCAAGTCATCTTACCTGTCTGAGTCTCAGGTTCCTTACCTATGAGACAGAACTTACAATCTATATTTCATAGTGTTGCTGGGGGGATTAATGAAATAACTCATGGCTGAGCACTCAGGATCTTAAGGAGGTAAAGCAGAGAAATGAAAAGGAGAGAGATGGGTTGAGTTCTAGAAAGCCCTAACAAGAATGGTAAGAACAGGCTCCTGTTATTTTATTCAATCTTATTGATAAGGAAGTTTACTAAAACCTGGCCACTAGAATTCACCTCCCCATGATCAGCTTCAGCATTAGCCATGTCCTCAGCAAAATATAATAAAACAATAATTGCTAACATGATTTGAATACACTGTGGGAAGTATATTATAAATGTTATCACATATGTTATAAGGTAGGTACAATTATTACCCCCAAATTACAAACAGGGATGCTGAGGCACAGAGAGGTTAAGTAACTTGCTGGAGATCACACAGCAAGGCAGTGGTGGGGCCAAGGTTAGACTGCAGAAGTCCAACCCCAGAGTGTGGACTTGGAGTCACTTTGCTGTATCAGAAGAAACATTTCTAACATATGGCAATGCTCAAGGTACATGGGTTCCCTGGCCTGAAGGATGAAGAATTAAGAAGAGATGGCATTTCCCCCTTTGGTTAGAGCTTCCTGACTTAGTGGGTGTCTGGGGCTGAGAGTCATGAGCGCCTACCTGTCCCATTACCCACCACCATGTTCTCATCTCACCTTCCAGCCCCTGTTCATTGTTGGAACCTCTTTGAAAATGACTGGAGGGAATTTTCCAGCCTTTGCTAGAACAATTAATTCTTTGTCTGTGGCAAAGGAAAGCCTTTCCAGGAATGAAAGACGTTCCTGCAATTTCTCAGGCTATGGGAACAACATGGAGCACATTCAAAGAGAAATCAGATCTCTGCTCTTGAAACTGCCTGGAGCTAGTCTTAGGAACTTTATATTCTTGTCAGAAGATCTTGAGGTCACTATTTTAAAAGGGGGGATATTTCCTGGGTCAGTAGAGAACTCTGAACAATTCAGAACACCATGAAATCTTGGGTCCATTCATGCATTTATTCAACAAATATTGATTGTCTGCTCTGTTCCAAGCAATGAGCAGGGTATTTAATATTATTTGATAAGGAACTTTAATGAGAAAGGAAAACTAATATGTGCAAAGAGCTTGTTCTGGGTTGAATTGTGTCCCCCTCCCCAAAAGAAGATAGGTTGAAGCCCTAACCCCCACTACTTCAGAATGTGATCTCATTCGGAAATAGGGTTTTTACAGAGATAATCAAGTTAAGATGAATTCATTAGGGTGCGTCCTAAAACAATGTGACTGGTGTCCTTATAAAAAGGGGAAGTTTGGACTCAGAGGCAGACACACACAGAGGGAAGGCAATATGAAGACACACTGAGAGGATGCTATGTCACAAGGAGGATGCTATGCGAAGATAAAGGCAGAGACCAGGTGATGCAAAAGAAGCCAAGGAAAGCCAGCAGTGGCCAGTAAGCCACCAGGAGAGAGGCATGAAATAGATTCCTGGACACCAGAAGTGTGTAAGTCAATACATTCCTGCTGTTTAAGAAACACGGTGTTACCTGGCCAGTGTGGCTCAGTGGTTGAGTGTTGACCCATGCACTAAAAGGTCACATGTTCAATTCCCGGTCAGGGCACATGCCCGGGTTGCGGGCTCGGTCCTCGGTGGAGGCTGTGCAGGAGGCAGCCAATCGATGTTTCTCTCTCATCAGTGTTTCTATCTCTGTTTCCCTCTTCCTTCCTCTCTCTGTAAACAATAAAAACATTTTTTTTTTAAAAAAGAACATTAGTAGAAAAACCAGTGAATAAAGTCTATACTTTACTTAATAGTAATGTAGCAACATTGGTTTCTAAATCTTGACAAATGCAACATCATTATGGGGAAACAGGGTGAAGGATCTATGGTTCTTTGTTAAGGATTCTTGGGTTCAAGATGGCAGTGTAGGTAAGTGAGGTACTTGAATCCTCCCACAATCACATCAAAATTACAGTTAAACTACAGAACAACCATCATTCAGCACCACCTGAAATCTAACTGAACAGAAGTCCTACAACTATGGATATAAAGAGGCAGCCACACCAAGACTGGAAATCAACAGTGGAGTAGATGAAGCAGAGAATCAAATCAGCAATTTGGAAA